ACCATACCATACCATACCATACCATACAATACCACACCATACCACAACACAACACCGCAACACAACACAGCACACCATACCATACCTTACCACAACACACAACACCACAACACAACACAACAAACCACAACACAACACACCATACCACACCATACCATACCATACCACACCATACCAGCTTTATTTATAAAGCACTTTAAACACCCACAGGACCAAAGTGCTGTACAGTATACATAATAAAACAATCATACAATCAGATAATAAAAGTGATTAAAATGATTAAAAGTCAACATTTCAGATGGTGTCAAGGGCCAGATCTGGGGTCTGCATCCTGCGGCTCTGGAGCCACATGCTGCTCTTTGTCCCTCTGCAGCGGCTCTTTCAAGCTTTGACCAAAACTGACATAAAACTGAATTTTATTTTTTGTTATAACAACAACTAAAAGGGCTAGTTTTAGCAGTTTTCTTGTAATTTATTTTGCAAATATATGAATACTAGAAACATTACAAGGAGTAAAACATACTCACTTTCACTTTATGCTTTATTTCTTCAAATTAGGATACATAAGTTTTCTACAATAAAAAAAAATCACATAAGAATGCATAATTTATTGTTTTAGTTTTAGAAACTGGGCAAAAACTATTTTTTTTTTCCCTTCGTGACAAGAATCTAGTATTTTATTTTGTCTTAATGTGTAAAAATATCAATACATGTTAAAAATCATTAGATATTTTGAGTTTTATAAAATCACCCCTACTGTCAAGAAAAGCGCCCCACAACAAACTTAAAGTGGTCCGTGGGCCACCAGTTGAGAATCCCAGTTGTGGCAGGTATTGTGGCTCTGGACACATTTCATTTAATAAACAAAGGGGCAGAACTGGCTCTTTTGATTGTAAAGTTGCAGACCCCTGGGCCAGATGATTACATGATCAATAATCTAATAATCTAATGGTTATTAGATGATTACAACATCTATCATCTAATATGTTTTTATTTATTTATTTATTTTGTTGTAATTTATGATTTTGTGGTCTAGGTATTCCAGCGTCGTCAAAATGGCCTGACGGACTTCTCCAGGAAGTGGAGTGACTATCGTGTTGGATTTGGAAATCTAGAGGATGAGTTTTGGCTGGGTGAGTCTCTTACTTATAGATAATGAAGGTCAAGGGGAAAAACGTTTTTGTATAAGCTGAATTGACAGGTTTTAGTGTCCAACAAACGACATCAGTTGTTGGACTAGAACTTACAGTTCAGGTCAGGTTAGCTGCTCCTTTATTTCTGTATCTCACTCTGCACAAGAGATTTCAGCTGCTGTTTGTGTCCGTTATTGAGCTGTGACATGCCACCTATTTTGTTCAATATATTTTCTGAAGGCAGCATCACTTTTTGTCTCTTCACATCATCCCCATGGCTGGGGTGAATGTAATACGTGCAATCAATAAAGGTTCATTGCTCTTACTTGATACACCGATTTTACACAGAGAAAAGAGGGGACAGACGCAGGTGGTAAAACTTTATTTTTCTTGAGGTTTTTATTTTGTGAAAAAGACAGAGAAGTGTGCTAAACCTATTTTCTTTCATTTTTCTCATTTTATCATTCTGCACCTGACTTCACAAAGTCTACCTGATTCATTACTGGATTCTCTGAAAACTCATTTCTCCCTGAAATGACTAAGTAATTGTTTATAGTGTTGCTTTGATCTAAAGTCAAGACCAAAGGGAATCCTTATTGTTTTGATGGACAGATGATTTTTTTTCTCTCTCTCAACCCTCCAAATCTCATTATGACACAATAATTATATTCATTGAAAAATGTGCAAATGAGTCATGTTTCATAACAAGACAGTTTTGTCATTGTTTTGGTGGAGATGATTAAATTAAAATACTATATTAAATAAATAGGAATCACAAGATTGTTTTTTTATTACTTAAAAAATAAGATGGGGTATGATTTATGATTATGATGCAGGTGATAGGCATTGAAAATATTCATCACAAACTGCAGCTGGCAACAATACAATTGTAAAATCAAAACGTTTACAATACATATTACCGTATTTTCCAGCGTATAAGTTGCAGTTTTTAGCATAGATTTGCTAGTCCTGTGACTTATACACTGAAGTGACTTATATAGGTTTTTTTTTTCATATTCATAATGCAATTTTTGACTGATGCTTTAAATGTTCATTTGTACTGACATGAACCAGAGTAAACATTATCATTTGCAGCCACTAGAGGCATGAGAGGGTCCTCTAGGCGTTTGACAACTTTATTCCTGTACCACTACCCCTGTCCCCCCCCCCCCCCCCCCCCCTTAACCATTAAAGTGCAGTTATTGAGGAAAAGTTAAACTGAGACACAACTTTGCTATAATGTCAAGCAAACAAATATTTGTTTTTAAGTGTTAATCTTGTTAAATTTCGAAGAACCGCAACAGCGAGTCCTCCTGTGCACGCTCCCACGGCCGCCAATTGATTTTTGGCAGCCAATTGATTTTTGGCACGACACCAGCCCACGTTCCCCAGGAGTCAGCAGTGACGCATAATAAACGCAACTTATACGCCAAAGCGATTTATATATATACACACAGACTCATGCTCATGTTCGTGCTGCTGCTCGACGTAATGTTTTTATACTATTAGTGCTTAGTGTATTTTAGTTGATGCTTTTCTTAGTTCATATCTTAGATGTTATTATTGTTTTTCTTTTACATTTTATTGTTGGATGTAACTGGGACCCTATGTACATAATTTCCTTCCACCACATGCACCACATGTGGTGCAAACGACAATAAAGAATCTCTGACTCTGACTGATTCTGATATGTATTTTTTTTCCTCTTTGTGATACTTTTGTTGAACAATGCGACTTATACGCCTGAAAATGTGGTACATTTGTCCTTTTATTGGATATTTTAAAGTAGGGGTGCATCGATTGCAGTTTTCTGGCCGATCACCGATTTAAAAAAAAGTCTGACCTGCCGATACCGATTTTGTTTTATAAGCGACACTGTCAGGTGTTATAAGGTCACAATGCACCTTCAATTTTTCAATCTTATTTTATTGAAAAACATACCCTTGAGCAATATCCTAGAAACAATACAAACATGTTGTAACTGGCCATGTGGTAGTGCTTTGAAATATAAATGAAGTTTAGACAATTGTTGTTAAAACAAACAAAAAAAAAATCTGTAAAATTGTTTTCTCATGAAAGTATCAGCCGATTTCCGATTTCCCAAAATTAAGGACATTTATCGGTGCACCCCTATTTTAAAGCTGTACTTCGAGCTGTTGAATTAAATATCCTCAAAGTTCTTTTTTTCCCATAAAAAAAATTCTCAAATGTAGCTGACAGACCTTTTAATTCAAAAGAAACGGTAAACTGCTGGCATCAGTCAATACTTTGTTGTTTGTTTCTCAACTGCAACAAAATGGGAATCCTCACTAAAGCACAGGTTCACTGAAGATGAGAGGAAGTCAGGTTTGTTTCTCTTTTTAAGGCATCATGTGCAGAGAATGAAATGTAGAGTGACAGGAAAGCTTTTTTACACTACGACACCTGAAGGCATCACATAAGGGCAGAGTTTTCGCAAATTTTTATGGCATTTTCACTACATTACAGCGTAAAGAGCCCTGCTGATGTGGAGCTCAGTGAGTGCTATGTTTTATCTGACCTGTTTCCTCTACAGCAGAATCAGCCATAATCTGCCCTTTCACCTCCTCTGAACTCACAGCAGAGTACTTTCATCTCTAGACCTTTGCTTTACTTTTCATGTGCCTCCCAGGCAGCACTCTCCCACAGTTTCAACATTTTTTTGTTACTTTTTGCTTGTGCTTTACTTTTATCCTTGCAGAGAATGAAAGCAGCTTAATGTAACCTTGGGGTGTGACGCATCAAGAGCTGCCCTATAGTGCAAAATTATAGACGTCCCAGCGTATAGCACTGGTGTCTCTATGTACATGCATGTTATGGCAGCAACATATTATCATGTTAGACAAATGATCTGATGGCCAGTGTTAAAAATAGTCATATAAAAATATTAGGAATATGATTAACAGTAGTTTAATCATAATTATTCTTTAATCCATGAGAGTGTGTTTTGTCTGTTATAATAGTCTCCTGTATTTTGGATGGATATTTTTGGTTTAGTCTACATCTGTTGCAGAAACCTTATGATTATTCATGTTTTAAACACAACTCTGCAAATTAAAAATGCACTATAACAATATTAAACCAGTTTTTCTCCAATTGTACTGTACCTGGATGCACATATTTAATCAGGCATGTGTCTGGCATGCAGCGTCTGTTTTGTTTTCTGTAATTTCTGTGAATATTTCACAATCAGACTTTGAGCTGATTTCTGAGATTTTTTATTCTTGTGAAGACTGGCACTGTCTTGAGTCTAGTATAGCTGTTATAAACAATTTTTAAGTAGAATTTTGGAGTAAAACCGTTTTAAAAGATGGCTGTACAATATAACTGTAACCCGGTGTCTGATAAATTGCTGGAACAGCCCAAAGACACAAAGGAAGCTGATTCAAGACCTCAGCAAAAACATAATTAAATAAATAAACACCACAAACAAAGCTGAGGACAGACAATCTGACAAAGACAGGGAAAGCAGTTATAATATTTGCTTTACATAAAGCAAAAATATGATTATTGGCACAAATGAGAACTTAATTTTAAGTGCAAGAAAATAGAAAATAAAGTTACCTACAAGAGCTAATCAGCCTTAAATCAAATACTGGCAACTGTCATTCCCAAACATTAGATTGTCAGGGCAAAACATTTGAAAATGGCTGCAATGGCAAGAATACAAGTTTATAACTCTGTTGCTGATGGAAGGGAAGTCTGTTCTGGGCACAAAACTGTCAAACTGCAGCCAAAAGCAAAATAAAATAAAAAATGGATTATTGAAACTCGAAACCAAAGCTGCCATTGTCAGAGAAATATTCAATAATGTATGCACAAACTGCAGTTTGACATTGTAAAACGTTTTTTATTGATAAGAAAAATGTGCCGATTTGCTGGAAATACAAGGCATAGCTTAAAATTTACATGTCCTTATCCAGGAAGCTTCATAAGCACAATAATATTAAAGGGATTTTAAGTCAATCATTTTATCATAAACTCAAGTTATTAAACCTTCAATCAGCTAGGATCGCGCATTTTTTAAATGACTGCAATTATCTTTAGACATCAGCTCCCAAAACTTGTATAACTTAATTACAAGTAACCGTTACTGGATTTACTAAGGTTAAAGAGCACAAACCATAGCACTGGGTTAATCTTTTTACTATTCACAGTGTGAGAGGTGACCCCAGCCTTTATTTTCCATTAAAATAAATAAACGGTGAAGCCCTACGGAGGGTCAGTGCAGCTCAGCTGCGTGTGACCGTCACTCTTCTTTCAAGTGATTAGATCACTGCTGACGCCTTGGGAAGCAATTCATTGAACACTCAGCTAATTACCACCTCTGCACACAGAATGCCATTTTACTGCTCAATGGGAACCATAAACACTGATATTAAATCTACTCAAACTGAGAAGAAGAAACACTTAACTGTCCAGCAGTAAAGGCTATCTTAATTATCTGCTGCACTTCGAGGACAACCGTTTTTATGCTCCTCTTTGTCTGTTCTCCGTCCTGACTGACCTCTGCTGAACACGGTGTCAGTTTGATGGTGTAATTAAAGAGAAACGCGACTGGCTGTGAGCAACCTCTAATCATTATCCCATTCCTTTTTTCCCTTTTGTTTTAATCCCCTCATTTATTGTTTCCACATTATGTGTGAGAGAAAGGCCGATAATAAAACGTGATATAATAACACGACAGCTCAGTGGTGTGTCAAAATGTATTTTAAATGGCTCCAGTTAGAAGTAAAGCTGTAAAAGAACTGTAAAAATGATGAGTGGTGCATTAATTGCTGATAATACTGTGATGTTATACAGTGGAAATTAGAAGTGACTGCATGTTAAACACAATTTTATTACAACAATTACTTTTCCTCTGCCACCCTAAGTGCCTCTAGGTTGGAACATAGATTGTATCTTCTTCCTATTGACATACTGTATTACAGCAGACTTCGTTTCCCTACCTTCCTACTTCTTATCAGTTAAGATTGGAGAATTTTTTCCCCCCATTCCTCAAATCATTCTCGAAGTTCAATCAGTAAAAATGCACACATGACATATCTGCTGGAGGTTAACCAGAGACGAGGGCTTTTTTTTTTTTTTTTTTTTTCCAAATGGGATTTTGTTGTAATCTGATAGCAAAGGCAGTTCCAATCGTTCAGGTTGGTGTGGGGCCTTATCGTGTGTCGGGGCTCAAACAAGCCTTGTATCTGCTGCCTTTGAGATAGCAGGCGATGCCACATTATCTCAGAAAGCTGCAACATGTGGTATTTGCAGGAGGGCAGATGACCACTGTCCACCACTCAACAGTGTCAATCATACACAGCAGCTGACAAAGATGTCTGACATAGCACTTATCAGGATCCAACCTATTAACCCAGAAAGCTGGCGGTGAGAAATAACTGCCAGCGAGAAACATTTAGGAGCAGGAAGTTCTTCTCAAGTTACAACCAGGAAAACAACTACCTGTAAATCTTGAAAGTAAATGTTTGATAATGGTTTATGTTGTATTGTTGGGAGATTACACCTACATTGTATCCAAACCAGCAAGAAATCCAACAACGCATCTGGTTTTAAATGATCCGAACAAAGGCACCAAATCCTTCCCAGTGATAGAGTGACTTCAAGTCTCATCAAGAGAGAAATACAGTTCGTACAAACTATTTGTTGGATATAACCAATGTCATGTTTCTCTGCAGGTCTTGACAACATCCAGAGGATTGCTGCTCAAGGCCGCTATGAGCTGAGAATTGACATGAGGGACGGACAAGAATCAGTCTATGCTAATTATGACAAGTTCTCCATTGGAGATGCAAGAAACCTCTACAAGCTCAGGATAGGAGAGTACAATGGCACTGCTGGTATGAGACTGAATACATAAGGACCGTTTACATCATGTAGACTTTTAACACTGACAGCTTTTTAGCATCTGAACCCTAATTTGTGTGAAAACTACCTCCCATACCTTCTCTGATTTTTTACCCCTCTTTTTTTCTCTCTCTTCAGACCAGTCTCATCACTCCCCCACATTTCTCCTCTCTCCTTTCATGTATACCTCAGCCTGTCTGCATGAGCATATATCAGAATTACCTGTTCCTGTATTTATAATTACACTTCCTTCTCCATCTCCCCTCTGGTTAAGTTTTGTGATTACTCACTGCAGTCCTGCTGGTATTTAATTCTCTCCGTCTCAATTTTCTCTGATTGCAGGTGATTCTCTCAGTTACCATCAGAGCCGGCCCTTTTCTACTAAAGACAGAGACAATGACATCGCTGTCACAAACTGTGCCTTGTCTTACAAAGGAGCCTGGTGGTACAAGAACTGCCACCGGGCCAACCTGAACGGCAAATATGGCGAGTCCAGACACAGTCAGGTCAGTCGTGTCTTTAATATAAAGCCCACATTATTTTTTTAAAACAAGGCAAAGTTGAATACACACCCAATAAATCGTATTTTATAATTGTGCGTTGTCAGCCAACTAGAAAATCTCATAGCAGAAAAGACTACGGTATGCAAAGCACTGCGTTTTCATGCAAATATATTTGCTGCCTCTGAAAGTATTTACATTCGTGCCACTATATCTGGTGCATATTCCCAAAAAAATAAAAAACAAAGAAGCCAGTTCAGTTTGGTGACAAGCATAATGGTGTACTTTCTTGTACAAATAAATGAGGATTTTTTTGCACAAATTGTTACCTTTTCTCTCCCCTGGGTTAGTGCCCTGCTTGCATTTTGACGCCTTTGGATAAAACAGGAATAAAGATTACTAGCTCCATATCAATAAGGACCAATAATCAAAAGTATTATGCTGTGAGCCATAATGAATTGTAAAGATTCATCTTAATTATTAATAATAAATGTAAAAACTTTAGGGGCTGTGGTAGCTCTTTCAACCAAGTTCACTTTCTGTTGTGACATTTGCAAAAGGGAGAACTGAAAGAACAGAACAAATGTGAACAAATTAAAGACCTACACAAATTTATAACATGAGCTATGATCTTAGCGTTGGAACTCAATATTCTAGTATGGACACTAAATGAAGCCATCTTGTTTCTTGTTTGTATATTACCCGGCACTAATCTGTTATATCTATCTATATCTGTAATAACTCTTGTGTGCAAACTTGTTGTTATTTTTGTGCAGGTGGTACCATTTCATTTGCACTTATCAATTAAAACAGCCTCTTTTTTAATCTATGATGGTTGTAGATCCATACATAACAAGGAACATGTAAGTGTAAACCCACCTAAAAATGAATGGTTAAAGCTGGAACTCATTTAGTTTAGACAATTGCTCTTCTGAGAACGTGATGTCAGACTGAGCCAGCTGCTCACACTGACTTGCTTTCTTTAAGGCAACACTAAACCAGCCTCTGGGCAGCAGTTTTGAAAATGTGTTTTATGGTGACAATGGAAGTAAAATCTGGACAACAAACTGAGCTTTATCCAGCTCAGAAATAAGGTAATTTGTGAAACAGCATCTTCCCAATACACAGATGCTTGGTTATATTGCACCTTCTGACACTGACAGTTTTTTTTAAAACTTTGGGATCATGTGAGATTTAACGTAACTGTGGCATTTATTTATTGAAAAACTCAATGGTTAGGCAAACTTACAAGGTCATGGTTTAATTTTATCCTCTAAAAATCAGGAAATAAACACCGTGCTAACTTCTGACATTAATTTAAGCTCAGTTTCTTTTTGTGTTTGTAGGAGTTGTAAAAAAAAAAAAATCCCTCTTCTCTTTTCTGCTTGCAGTTTGAAAGAACCCACTCTTGAACTAAATGTCCTCATTTGATAAGGTTGACATTTTGAAAGTGTATTTTGGTATTTACAAAATTGACATAAAAGGGCACAATTATAACACACTGATTAAAGGTTAAAACCTCTCAAACTGAAAGGTTAATAATTAGTAAATTAAATCAAATAACTCTTACCAAGCGTCTGTGTCCTTTGGGGGCCCTGATTTGCCTGATGAGTTCAAAAACAACAAAAGCAACAAAATCTGCTTCACGACTCATTTAGTTTCAGTGAAACTTGTAGACAAGATATTATTTAATATTAAAAAAATAGACAAATTCTAATAATTTAGTTTATTTGGGCTCTCCCTAATGGTTGCCCATAATTAAAGTATTTATGTGACAGAAAAAACACTCATAAACAGGTTCAAGGTTCTTTATTGTCATTCGCATCACATGTGGTACATGAGGTGGAATGAAATTGTGCACACAGGGTTGCAGTTACACCCAACAATAGCAAACCTATACATTGTAAAAGAAAATACTAAGGATCTAAGATATAAATAAATAAATGTGCTAAACGCAATAGTACAAAAACAATACGCTGAACAACAGCAGCACGAACATGAGTCTGTGTGAGCAGATGAGTAGGAATGAACATAGCAGCATGAAATAAATCAGCAGCATGACATAATCAGCAGCATGAGATTAGCAGCCAGGTACCAAACAGGTACCCCAGTATCAAAACTTACATGGGCATCTTTTTTTGTTTCTCCAAAGTGTAAAAACAGGAGCATTGAGCTTTTAACTAGAGCATGATGCTTTTCTCACCTTCATGCTGAAATGGCTGTAGAAAGCCAGTGATGTGTTGTGTGAAGCTAAGACCGGCTGAGTCACAAAGGCTTTAAAGCATCGCTGCTTTTCTGACTCCGCTCCCTGCCTTTCTCGGTCGTTTGATAACTGAACTAAGAACAGGTGGGAACAGAGATAGACAGGCATACATGCATGAGTGTAAAGCTGCAGGATGGGAGGATAAAGAGAGTGATGTGGATTTGCAGGGCTAGATCGTGGCTATAATTAGATTAGACTTGTTATTGTGTAAGCTGGTAAATTGCATTTTTGGCTCTCCTGTTTGGAGTTCTACTCTCAACTGAAATCAAACTCGTTCCACTGAAATTATAACATTTTCCTCCTCGGGCATGGTCTATAATAAGTTCTGTTATTTCCTCTGATGCTTGTGCTTTCCTAAGAAACTCGAATAGACTGCAGCGGTGTCTAAAAATCCCACTTTTACTCTCACAGGGTATTAACTGGTATCACTGGAAAGGCCATGAGTTCTCCATCCCCTTTGTGGAGATGAAGATGAGGCCGTTCAACTTCCGTAGCATCAGCAGCAAGAGGAGACGATCTGCCCCTGAATAAACAACCCACCCCACATCCCGAGCCCAGGCCAGAGTCCGAGATAATCAGGGTTTGGATGAGAATGATGTTTAGTGTGAAGTTTAGTGCCTCACTGATGAAGACAGGCTGGAGTTCAAGTTTGCCACTGCTTGTTTAGTGAGGCTGCAACAAAAAGCTAATATATTATTAAAATTACTAATATTTTCCTAACATTTGTGAAAATAATAATTGAACTCAACCTGCTATTATAATTAGGAATGTAATAAGAGAATAGCATCTGAACTCTGTTGACCCCTGCACCTGGCAGGCGAGAGCTGCCTTCTCCTGCTGTACTTCTACCCAAATGATAGAAGACAATGTATGTAATGTATTAACTGCTCTGAATGACAATGATTCAACTCGCTGTAAAAAAGAAAAGATAAACGTGAAGGCAAACCAAGACGCTTTGTTTTATGATAATCTGTGATTTGCCTTTCCTCTGAATGCCTGGAAATGTGCTCAGACGTGCCCTCGACTGTCAGAGGTAGTGCTATTTTAGCTATTACAACTTTACACTTTTAACTCCAAAACATACTGTATATGCCCTAAACCCTGTAATATATCTATATTTTTATAACTAATATTGTGACAGAGTCCATTTATTCAATATGATTTGATGCCTTGAATTCTGAGCCTTGATTGAGTAAATACAATAATAAAACTGGACTTGGATTTATCCTAAAATAAAACAATAAAAAACTGAAGATCCAGAATTGTCATTTAAATAGCAGTTCACCAGCAACAGCTTCATTGCCTTCTGCTTTATTTTATTTGTTACGTCTACTGCTGACTTCTTTGTGTTAGTTACATATTTAGGCAGAGTGAAAATAATAATGTGATTGGTAGCTGCACTGAAACCGTATTCGTCCTGACAGTGGGAGCACAGCTAGGCTATTGTTCTTTCAATTGAGTGAGTTTGTACAGTTGTTCATGGGCATTAAATGTTCACTGGGTTTCTTCTTTGAAATAAAATGCACGTTGCATTTAACCCTGTTGTAAAGAAGGGATTGCTTGCAGAGATGGTGCTGATAGATGGGGCATTTCACCAAAGATCTGCAAAAAATATAAAGAAAAAAGACTTGCTGATTGAAAATAGATTTATATCTTTCATCACCAAAGTTACAGTGTGAGCTTTTCTTTCTATCAATAGACAATAGCTCCTCATTTCAGAACGTTTCAAAGGATTTACGTCTCCCAGGCTTTATTTTCTGAGCTGTGATCACTAGAACTCTGCAGACAGTGAGGGCGAGCGCAGAGCAGAGTTTAGCCTGGCTTCACATCCCCCGCTTGCTGGGATGAACTTAACACAAAAAGCAGAACAGAAGGTGGAGTGAAGCCAAAGTCTTCTATTCACCATTTAAGCTTCTCAGTGAAACAAAACAATCAACTCAAACTGCTGGGAATGTATTTGTTTTATACCGAGGAGGGCGTTAATCTGCAGCATGCAGGGTCAGCTGACTGCTTTCTAGAAAAGGTTCTAATTTCCAAGACATAATAATAATAATGTGTATGTATTATCACCATTGTATGTTCCCATACAATGGTGAAATTGGCTCTCTGCATTTAACCCATCCACCACCAGGTGGAGCAGTGGGCAGCTATGGAGGGCACCTGGGGAGCAACTGGGAATAGGGTGTCCTGCTCAGAGAAACCACGAGATGTGTAAGGATCAAACCCGGGACTTTTGTGTCCCGAGTCAGCTGCCCTGCCCCTACACCATCTCGGCCTCCATTAATTGATGTCATCATCACTGCAAGCAACTTTTAGCTTTTCATTCTTTGATCAGCTGTAAAGATATTCTCCTGTGCTTCTGTTTAAATTTTTGTTTAAATTAATCAGCTTTTTTTTTTTCCTCATTAGACTTGAAAAGAATAGCAACTCTACCCTTAACGACTACTAATTCACTTGTGTAGATATAACATTTAACTGTTTTTTGTTGTGTTACCCCTTTAGATGCAAACTAATTCAGAATGCCCTGTTAGCATTGTTAGCATTGTAGTTTTGACTACTGCTGTGCTAACTGTGGGATGGAGCGTAATGCATGTCGATTAAACAACCAATAGCCTGAGAGTCAGTAACAAATGTCCGGAGAGTTCATTCACTTTGACTTGTGTTTATGTTTTTGTTGTCAGTCTGGGAGGAAGGTTCCTTTTTAAAGGTAGGACGTTTTCCTGGTCAATAATTTGTGTTTTGTTGTTTAAATAATTCAGCTTTTCTTATGCAATACATTTCTCAAAGTGATTTAGAGTAGAGTGTTTTCTGTGTATTATGTTATTAACTACTTGGATTATGTTTTCCTCCCTGGGGTTTGTACAAACGAACAAGAGTCTGACACTCTGCAAAAAGAAACAGTGTCATTTGTGTTTTGGGAAGTTATCTCATTTCACACCATACAGTGCTTGATAATCCAGAAAGCTGTTTTTGCTTTCATTTATCTTACTTTTTCTGTTTTCAAAATTATTTATTTCACTTGTTTTATATTGGTTAAAAAAAGTTAATTTGCATGGGATTACCACCACATAGTGCTGCACATGTGATAAATAAATACAGTATATTTTAAAATATTACATTTTTTCAGGAAGACCCTGTTTTGTTTTGGAAGCATACCTCCAATAATATTAAAAAGTGGCACCTCAGATATGTATCGTGTGGCATTACTCCTCTTAGCTTCAGCTTCTTGGAAAGAAGAAACAATAATTGGCTGTGATTTGTCTGTATTTTACCATAATGTAAAGATTTGTTCAATGTACTGTATAACATTGTTTTTAAGAGTCTTTACCCTGTCATTTAAACTAAGACTGAGCCTCAGTGATCAGAATGTGTTTGAACACTATCATTTTTTGTACAGAAGACTTGTTTTATTTAATTATACCTTTTTTAATGACTGCAGCCATGCAAGGGCCAGTATGTCATTAACAATAAAAACAACTAATAAAAAATGGTTTTATGTTGACAGCTTGATTAGCTGGAAATCTGTGACTGCAGTTATCTGAGACCTTGGCATGGAAATGTAAATGTTGATAAAATGTGGATTTTGACTGTTCGAAAAGCTCATATAAGCTGAAATGAATGATTGATTGTTGGATAACCTTGAATATTACTGTCAAATTTAGCTCTAGTTTAACTTAAACCTGTACTATATAGTTCCTTTTTTAATACATTTTCTACGTATTAATAAAATTATGAAAATGAATAAAATCATTGTCTCCCTGTTTGTGAAGCCAGATAAATCAAATCTATTTAAATAGCACATTTTAAGAGCAATTATTGTTGAACAAAACAATGAACGGTAAAAGTATAAGAACATACATAAGAGACCATAAAAACAAACACAGGTTAAAACTAAAACATAATAAGACATAAAGCAAAACCATTCAAGTTGTGCCACAATGTCAACTCTTGGGCTCTATTAAAAGCCAGCAAGTACAAAGTGTTTTAAGGTGAGGTCTGTCTCAGTTTATTACAAGTGAAAAGGCCCAGTCATGTCTGTGGACCAGCCAAGACTTTGAGACAACTAAAAGTAAACGATCATTAAATCTAAGGGATCTGTAGGGCACATAAATATACAAGAGCCTGTCCATTCAGAGCCTTTTATTCAATAAAACCTGAGAGGCTAGCCTGGCTAACACCAACATACAGAAATGAACAGTAATCCATTTGGGAGTTACGAAAAGCATGAATTCAAAGTTATTAAAGGGTAATAATTTCACTTTAACTAAAAGCATAGATTTTGAAAAAGGAGCTGTTTAATACAGAACTAATCTGTTTCTCAAGGTTAAAATTCAAATCAAATATTATACCCAAATCTTTTGCATAAGGTTTTGGAAACAGCTCTGTTGTCCTGTAGGAACACCACTATGGTTTCCACCCATCCATCCACCCATCCATCCATCCATCCATCCATCCATCCATCCATTATCTTTACCTGCTTCTTCCGTTTCGGGTCGCGGGGGTCACTGGTGTCCATGTCCAGCCATCACTGTGCGAGAAGTGGGAGACACCCTGGACAGTTCTCCAGTCCATTACAGGGACACATAGAGACAAACGAGACAAACAACCATTCACTCTCTCACTAGGGACAATTTAGAGTTACCGATAGTCTAACATGCACGTTTTTGGTCTGGGGGAGGAAACTGGAGTGCCGGGGGAAAACCCACGCATGCACGGAGAGAACATGCAAACTCCACCCAGAAAATCAAAGTTTATGCTCATTAATCCAGGTAATAAATCCAACAAAGTTAAGTCTTCACCACTTGCTCTAGCCGAGATCGGATGCTTCCCTCCCTCCCTCTCCGCTTTGCTTTGCTGTTCTGTCTGTTTGTGAAACTGCTGTGAGACTCTCTTGCATTTCTTCCGAACCATAATTATGGACTGTTTTAACCAGTTTGTCCCTCAACTCAATTTACAACATTTCTTTGAAGAGAAGGCAGGCTTTAGGTGAGTCGATTTGCCCTGTTGGCACGTACGCAGCTGGATATCTCATCGACTGGAAGACTTGATGATGTGTCTTTCCCTGCTGCCATCTGTGGATTTAAAGGATGCATATTTAATTGGATTTTCGATAACTGGGTCCTGCTATTTTGGATTCAGCTGGTGCTGGTTTTATCTACAATCAAGGAAGTCATTGGCAGCAAATTTGGACCCAGTCATGCTGCTTGCCTTTATGATGGCTTGGTTCGTGTCTCGTGTACCCAGACTCAAATGCTTTGGGCTGAATGGATCAGATCTCGGGGATTTTACTCAGTCACGTTCCATCGGTGTGGCCATGTTATTTTGGACATTTCGGAACCGAGTGGACCAACACAGACTCAAGGTAGATGTCATTAAATCCTGCCTGTCCCCAAAAGAACTGTGTGCTTATCTAAATTTTGGTTCCCTTGGCTGGTCTTGAAGGCCATCTTATCTGAATTTGCCTGGAGAACGTGATCTGATGCTCACCACCCCCTCCCTGAGGAATTTCCAACTGATAACCAGATGAACCAGCTGAATAAACTTTGTGTCATCATTTCAGGACTCTTGGATTCTCATAGAGGTTATTCTTGGCCATTCCTCGACATACCTCGAGAATGTTTATGGATCTCACCGGAGGACCTTGACTGATTACAGTGACCTCGAGAG